AAAGGAAAAATTGAAATCGCATCATATGACCCCTTTAAGTATGTAGGGTAGATGCTCTGTAGGGTCCATAATGTCGACCGAACACAGGACATGGTAGCTGTACGTGCTGCACTCCTGAGTGAAATATTTAAAGCCAGACTCAAATTCAGACATCATTTACAACAAAGATACCTAAATTTAGTCCACACTCGCTTCTGTAAAGTCAATATCAACGTCTTGCTCCCTCACACGGAAAAGATAAAATATTCAGCAGACATCACTTAGAGCTCTCACAAAAACACAAAGACCTCATTCAGTCAAGTCCTGATACTATGGTAAAAATAACATAAAATCATACACCGTGCAAGGACTCAATCAAAAGGGCTCTCACATCAGAAAACAAAAAACAGGCTCATGCACAAGGTTTTTTAACAATTCAACTTGAAAAAAAGTTTTAAAAATCACATCATGTAGAACATCACAAACATTATTTTATTCCTTTAAAGTGCTCTACAGTGATTATCAGCCGAGGATCATGTATCTCTACAGGACGCTCACACAATGAGAGCATTTTTGCAGTGATAAACCAACTGGAAGTCATTCAATTTTAATAGGATTAATGTCTACCAGCATAAATAAGAACTACTAGTGCTTGAAGTTGCTCAGGTGTGCAAGTGAGTGACCACAGTGATCAATACTCTCAGTTAGACAGTCATTAACTGTTCTGAGAAAACCTACAAGGTTCCTAAAAACAGTGTAATACAGAAACTGCTGTCAGACCAGTTCTCAGACAAAAGTTTATTTTATATAACCTATTTTATTTAACCTAAATATAGTGATTAAAAAAGTTCATTTTTTAAATGTTAACCTAAATATAGTGACATTCAGTTTTTACACAAGTTAATACTAAGAGTGAAGACACTAGACAAATTTTGCCTGTACAAAAATGTCATGGACCTTTCAATAAGGTTACATAATAATGAACAATTCATTTAGATTAATTTTTAAATTAGCACATTAACTAAGCTAGTTCACATTGCATCAACGAATACCAACATTTCAAAAATTCTAAAGTTGGATGTTGGATTTAAAATGTTGGGAAACAACTGCGATTTCCACTCTGCTTCAACAAATACCAACAGTGTGAACATGCTAATCCAAAACAACGTCTACAAGTTGGTGTTTGATGGGGCAGGAAATTAGTCTTGTAAAATGAATCATATTCATCCAAAACTCTATTAGTTTCATTTAAGAAATGTCTTTGGGTTCTTTTGGGCATGCAACAGAAGTCAGTGGGGTACAATTTATTTTGGTACCCGATGTTCTTCAACACATTCTTCTTTTGGGGTCCATGGAAGAAATTAAGTCATACAAGGATTGGAATGACATGAGGGTGAGTAAATTATGATAGAATGTTCATTTTTGAGTGAACTATCCCTTTAAGAGACATGTAAGAACATTCCAGACTTCCAAAACCTGAAAGGTTGACAGTTGGGTAGTAGTCTGCACCAATATGGCCAAAAGTGGCGCCTCTACAGTGGACACAATCTCATGCACTTCATCATAGTCAAGAACAAGCGTAGGCCATGAGACCATAAGTTCACATCAAGCTCGCCATTTGGGACAAGGCCATAGGCAAGAAATAATTTCAAGACCTTCAGCTTCTGAACATGGTCTAAACCAGGGGTGCCCAAACTCTGTCCTGGAGGGCCGGTGTCCTGCAGGGTTTAGCTCCAGCTTGCCTCAACACACCTGCCTGGAAGTTTCTAGTATGCCAAGTAAGACCTTGATTAGCTGCTTCGGGTGTGTTTGATTAGGGCTGGAGCTAAACTCTGCAGGACACCGGCCCTCCAGGACAGAGTTTGGGCACCCCTGGTCTAAACCGTAAATGAAGCAACAGTAGGCTACATATTTTTTTTGACATTTTTAGGTCTGCTATACATTCTCCAGTGTAGCACTATCTACAAAACACATTTACATAACAATGAGTCACTTTTCCGCTTCCTCTTTGGGTCGTGGTTTCGAGCAGCACTTTGATCCAGCAAACAGCGATCTGAAGATGCTCCTCTTCCTCTTTCCTGTCCTGTCCTTTCTGGGCGATTGTTCGGCGAGGCATATGGACTTCCGGAGCGTGCCGATACGCCACTCGTGTTCACGGATCTTGCACTGCACGTGGTTCTGGATGGCAAATCCCAGGGACTCCATGTCCAGCGACGCTCCATAGACTTCCCAGGTCATTCCCTGCTCATCCCAGACGATCTCCTGAGGTGTACCGCTCTCCTCCTTTTCTCCTTCCACCCCTGCTGTTCTCCCAGAGTTGAGCAGCTTCAAGGAGTCCTCCGCCACCCTGGGCGACACTTGACAAGTTGCGTCAAATTCACTGATGGTTACTTGAGGAGGAACCGAACCAAGAGGTTGCAGGGACTGGCTACGAAGCTCAATCTCTATTTGACAGATGTGTTGAAGAGATTTTTGGCTATTGGAGGACTTGTAAGGGGGTGGACCTAGAAATCTAGGCTTGGGTCCTGTTGGTTTGGGGTCCGGTAAGGCTACAGTTGGCAACCAATCGGAGTCCGAGTTACTGTCGGGGTTGAGCTCATTGTGCAGGCCAACTTTAGGATTGAGGTCAATCTCAGGGTTCAACTGGTGGGGTTGAGAATCGTGGACTGGACTCATGTCTGTGGATCTGCTGCAGACCTCCACATCCGCCTGGACCTCGACGTCAGCGTACACCGGTTGCAGATCCGCCTGCAGTGCTGCATCCTTCATTTTAGTGACTGGGAAACCTTCAACTGTCATTGTCACTGCATCCTTCAAGTTCTTGGGTGTCGGAATGTTATTGTTTTCGTTCATCATAGCATCCTTCCTGACCTCAGTCGCCATTTTATCATTCTGAATCTCAGCTTCCCTCTTTCCCTCTCCTGTGTTCCTTCTCTCCTCACTCTCTGCTTCCTCCCTTCCCATCTTTTCCCACAGTCTCTGACTCTTTCCTGCGTGTCTCTCTTGGGTCGTTACATATGCGTCAGTCTTGTCTTCTTGCTCTCTCAGCTGTTTGATAGAGGGGTTTCCTGCTCGATGTGACGACGGAGAAGACGTTTCTTCACCCCCTTTGGAGTTAATCGTGATGACATCACTTCCTCTAAGACCGTGTCCCTGAAGGACAGCATCCTCTCTTTCCACTCCTTCTCTCTCATTCCCATTCTTTATCTCCGGCTCCTCTCGTCCCCGAGGACTCTCCTCCATTGCTGCTTCCGTACCCAGTTGCAGTTTGCTCTCCACCAATGTGTCAATCATTTTATCTTTCGGAGAAGTCAACAGCAGTCCTTCTTTGCCTGTAACTCTTCTATTCCGCTCAGTTTTGTCCACTTTGAGAGATGCAGGATGGGGCGGTTTAAGTTTGGGGCTGGAAGTGGCTCTAGGAATGTGCGAGAGAGAAGTCCGGCTGAGACTCTTGGAAGAGTCGGTAGAGGAAATCTGGGAAGCAGACGATGTTTTTTGAAGCGTCTTTTGTGGGGAGTCTGTGGAGCCAACGATATGAGATGCTGAGGCAGTTTTTTGCATGTTTTTGAGAAAAGTTTTCGCACTCGCTTGCAGCTTTTTCTCATGGCTCGCATTTGGGGATCTCAGTTTTGGCCCACTGGGTCCAGTTTGGCTGGATAAACTTAAGACCTCCACTCCAGGTGCAGTTGTTTTGCTTGGTGGTTTTGATCCTGTTTTAGTCGTAGCAATTGTGTTAGCTATTCCCGCAGTGACCTGCTTGGTTGTCGTTGAGTGCATGGTGGGTATTTTCGATGCAGCTGTGGACGCAGGGAGGGGTTCTACGGCTGGAATGGCAGCGGTGGCTAATGCAGTGTTTTTTAGTGTTTTCATATGGCCGGCGGATTCCCTGGAGGTGGATCGCTCCTCCTGTTCTTTAGCTTTTACTTCAATGCCATGATTCTCTCCAAGTCTTGTCCTGGTTCCAGGAGAGAGGTTTCCCTTTCTGTGCTGGCTTGAGGGCTTGGACTCCCAGCATGCCTTGGGCTCATTATTTCCAGGGGGATGAAGGAAATCAGGTCGGGATTCCATGAAACTGATTATAGTTGAAGGAGACGACAATGGGAGCTCTGATTTAGTGATGTCTTAGTTGTGGGTTTGACACATCTGTGAAGAGAAAAACAGCAGATTTAGTTCAACCTTTTAAAAAATGTTTTGATGAAATTGTTTACCTACTGTAAATGTCAAGATAAAACTATAAATCATGATTTTTCATGGAAATATATTTTTACATTTTCTGATTCGTTTTTCTGCTGTTTTCACAAGTGTTGAATTTTCATTGCCGTATGTTCATTGATCAAACATTTTAATTGACATTGGTTTAGACAGGATTACAGGAACTATAGATTTTATGTCAGTTCAGTTATGTACTGTAAATGCACTCCTGGTGTAATGACTGTACATTTAGCACCTGATTAAACCAACCCTTTTTACTACAATTACAATTTAAAAACCATGGTTACTATAGCTAAACCATGGTAACCACAAATTAACAATACACTAACAATTTACGTTTAACCATGGTATTTGAAGTAAAATTGTGGTTATACAAATGGTAATCAATACGCTAAAAAAGAAAACATAGTTACTACACTTTTACTATAAAACCATGCTTAATTTTCGTAAGGGAATCCTTACAACACTTACAACCCTACACTGTAAAAAATGACCGTGAATTTAACGGTAAAAGACTGTAAAAATGCTACAGTAAAAACCTGTTAAATGGTTAACGGTAAATTCCCCTACTATATACGGTGGAAAACTGTATTGGTTTTTTACCGTAAATTTTACGGATTTTTTTTTACAGTGTAATGGAAGCAAGTTTTGAATGATGGTTGTTTTACATGTGCAATCAGTTTGGAGTTTGTTTGCTTTTTTTGTTTTTTTAAATGTGCCACTTATGAAAATAGAACCAAATCAATAAAATAAATAAAATAATAGTAAACTTAAAAGCTCCAAATGTCCCCGCTGGGGAAAAAATATAAAAAATCTTTTAAGAAGTGTCCAAAACCCCTCAAAAACAGACCAGACTGACTAGGTTAGGCTGCAGCTGTTGATAAAAATAATCTTATTTCAGTGTTTCAGTTATAATTCTCCGTTTACATTAATATAATGTAACATTTAATTCGATTCTAAGCTGGGACAGTGATTCTAACACATCTACACATCCATCAGCGACGCCCATAAACACTGTAACATAAGTAAACACGACCCGCTATTAAAGAACTACACAAGCGCATATTACGCACAACCATACTCACAGTTTAATGCCTCCCAAATCGATCCAGACATTGCCAGGACGATGCGCTCTTCTGAATGATGCTGAAACTGAACTGTTTTTCCCTCTCGTGCTTGAATAAATGACTACGCTCTGTTCTGCATCAGATACGCGAGGAGAGCATGACGCGCGAGCGGAATACAGGTCACGTATTGATGTGCATCTCATTTTTCCAAAACATCAACTGGTATTTTAGAGATGTAAGCATACATCAGGTTTCTTTGCTTTCAGCTGGGAAATCGCAAGAAAGCAATTACATCTCTATAGTTAAACCGTATTGCATCTGCACGCTAGAACGGATTTAATTTTGTGAACACAGGTTTAAAACCCTTAATTTAGTTAATATTTAATGTTACATATTTTATCTCAATAGACTGGAATAAGTTTATTAATATAATATATCCCACCCACTACCAGGTGCAGTGATGAAGAGATAATCAGTGTTATTCACCTGTCAGTGGTCATAATGTTATGCCTGATCGGTGTATATTTTCCATTCACAATTACAACTTAAGATCAATAAATGTTATTGTTATTATTATTATTTAATGCTCTAAAGTCTGGCTTATAGAAAATGTTGAATTTAGTAATTAAATATCACCTTATGCACGAATACACGAATCCATATACATGTTGGCATTTAGCTTATCTGCAGCTTCACAATGAGTTTGGATCTCATTAAATCGACTTTATCTGTCATATTAAAGTTGTTGATGGTACAATGGCAGGGCTTTGGTTGCCTAGTAACCAGTATTGACTGTCAGCAGCACCTGAGCTGATGGTTAGTAAAGTGAGACGGATTACTCTCAAAACACTGGAGCCCACAGCAAATATGGTTTCTATATTTCGCATGAAGAATAATAAACATATTTCATGCATTGACTCCACATAGTGCTCTCAATGTGTTATATTAATATGATCATACTAATATATATATATATATATATATATATAATACTTAAAGATCAGAATAATGAAATATATTCTATTCTATAGTATTAGTATAATAAAATTATATAGTAAAATAATGCATAATGTATAATTTTATAAAATTACCTTTTATAACAATATAAGCATTGCATGACACTTTTAGAGACACATGTCTCATGCAATCCATATATTATA